GCATTGAGTGCACAGAAAAAATTCAACATAAAACATTTTAAAGCTTACGTACAAAATAACTCAATAGGCTCTGACTCATTCCAAACTACATACCATCTGCATGGCTGAGATTTCAAAGCCTGCATCTCGGATAGCCATCAGAATCTTTCCCAGCAGTCCTGAAAATACAGAACAAATGGGTGAAAAACGCAAAAATTAAAGTCATTTTAGTTTCTTAGAAATGCAAGTTTTCTATATCAAATTATTATGCTTATACTCTATATGAAGAAATCACGTATTTCCACAAAGGAAACCAAGCCCCTCGTACTGGGCATTACACAATCATTTGATTAGAAAATGCTTCAGGAATATCAACAATAGTCCTGAAGATAAAAACTTTTAAGGGCCGGCCGAGTGGCGCGTTGGTTAAGAGCTGGCTTGGGATCCAGCTCTGAGCAGCAGGGCACTGGTTCGGATCCCACATGAGGGCCAGTGACGCTGCGCCTCTACAGCCAAGATGGTGAACAACAGCTCGACCTGGAGCCGGGCTGCTGTTGAGTCGCCGGCGACGGCATGGGCTGCAGTGGACTGCCATAGGCTACCGTGAGTGGTGGGCAGCCAGCAGGAGTGGCCAGCAGCCAGTGGGAGCTGCCAAGAGCCATCGTGAGTGGCCGTCCAGAGGCGGGCAACTGATCTGCCTCAGTCGGGAAGAGCGCAATGATCATAATACCAACAGAGGCCAGTGAAACAACGTCCTCCACAACTAGACTGAAGAACAAAAGGACAGCAACTTGTCTGTTCCCCTCCCCCGATTCCCCAATTTAAAAAATCTTAAAAAAAAAAAATTTAAGATATTATTTGGTTTTAAAGCCCCTGTAGAGAACATGGAATTCAAACAATTAAAACTAGTATTACAAAAAAAAAACACCGTAATTCCAAAGTATAATTGAAACTAATATTACAAAAAAAAAATTCCAAAGTACAATTAAATTAATATTACCAAAAAATGAAATTCCAGAGGAGAAATATCAAATACAACTGAGGAGGTGGACTGAAGCTTCATTGGAAAATGGAAGCATCAGTTGGTCCCTACAGGCTGCAGACCAATGGGGTTACACAGGGAGGAAGGTGGAAGAGGAGAGAAGACGCAAATCTGGGAAACGTGAGCATGGTCACACAGCAGTCAAAGTAAAAAAAAAAAAAAAACTAAAAAGGAAAAGAGATTTAACCCAAGCTGATGAAGGCCTTGGGTGTCAACATGAGGAATTTGGTCTCAATCCCACAGATCAGCGATTTGTATACCGGGGTCTGTGGGCTCTGCAAGTCTGGGACTGATTTTCTGTAAAAAATCTCCTAAGTTTGTTTTTTTCAAGTCAACTAGAATTCTCTCTCTCTCTCTCTCTCTCTCTCTCTCTCTCT